TGCAAACCCTGTCCGGATGCCTTAACGAAGTCCGCTATAGGCGACCATTATGGGATGGTCGTTACAAGGTTGCCCGTTGGTCTGGGAGTACACACTGCACTGCATCTTCAACATTTCCCGTGACGGTAAGCCACGGTGATCGCAGGCACCTGTTGAGTGCGAAGTAATAAACCGTTCACCACCGTACCGTGGAGTTATGTCAACATCAACGTCCCCATTTCTGGATCGATTAGTTCACATCTTACCTCTCCAGCCCGCCGCACTTGACGCTGCCTAACCGCCTCCTTATCGTAGACCCTTGGCTTCCACGTAGACCTCAGGGTTCACGCTCGTAATACATCCTACAATGCCTCCTAAAAAGTCTCAGGCCCCTACCTCCCGTATGAAGAAGTACAGTATCCCCTACACAATTGGTGGCTCGTGGTTATCGTTGACGCAGAAACAGCTAGACACCCTGTCCCCTGGAAAGTGGGTGTCTGGCGACATCATTGAGTGGTGGGGCATGTGAGTAACCCGCTGCTTGATGTGCGTCATTGCAACAACCCATTCACCAGGTTGTTACTAGCATAGTATCCATGCTAAACGCGTTTCGTCATTCGTTTGATGCAGCTTGATGCAATACGAGACTAGGAGAGAAGAGCGGACGTGGCTATACGCGGGGACATACTTTTACACGCTGATTTCCCGTGACAACACCGCAGCGGCATTGCGAAACTTCGCGTGCGGAGAGAATATCCTGACCTACAAGTGGGTCATCGTTCCGATCTACAGCGCATGAGTCATTAACAGGTGTAGTCATCCGTCAACGCAGCTGTACGCGACCACAAAGTCTCATGTCGGCACCCAATCTTGCATTCGTTCTTGCAGCGGCCACTGGAGCCTTGTCATACTGGACAACGACCACACAGTCGACGAGCACAACATCCCGCGACCTACCCGCATCCTGCATGCAGACTCCCTCTCGTTACACACGGACATCGCCGGACCACTGAGACGTTATCTTGCGGCTCAGCTCACTGGGTATCGGCCCATTGTCACTGACGTGGAGGCGCAACTATGGGAGAATTCGGTGGAGCTCGTCACCATGGAGGTAGGGAACGCTTAACACTTGACCACATTCGCCAGAACAAGACATCGCGTCCAATCTCTGACTGCGTCTGTACTGTGTGATTTCTCTGTATGTGTGTGATGTACTCTGTGTCCCAGGTCACAAAACAGTCGAACGGGAACGACTGTGGTGTGTACGTGATGAAATATATGCAGGTGATGGTGGAGACCGCTTTTGCAAACACATCGTCTATCACACTGTGGGGAGATCCAACAGAATGGAGGGAGGACATTAGGGAGGATTTCTGGAAGTGGAGCGGCTGGTACCCCAAGCAGATGGGCGCCTCATCTTCATAGCACTATGTTTGTCACAGTAAATCGTTGTGAACAATGGAGCACAGATGGGCTCCTTGGGTGACTGTAATCCATGCCTGAACTTGCTATGTTTATGCAATTACGATAAATATATATGCACGAATCGTACCGGACATAACAGTAGTCATTAGCGAGGTTGAGTTTAGGGTGTTTGGAAGATGGTCGGTGAAACAGCTCGACAAGAGGCCGTCACTGTTCCCGAAACCCTAATCAGCGGTCAAGTACACATGGCTTACACCCCTTGGCAAACGAGAAACCCACCCCCGATTCCGACAGTCAGGTTAACAACCATGGCTTCCACGCGAAGCGGGCCACACCAGCGCGCCAACAGTCAGCAGTTAGGGCACGCCGTACACGACGGTGGCGCTGACGGAGAGAGTGAAGACCCATTCTGTGGAATGCCGGAAGATGTGTATCGAAGCGGTGCGTTTCTACTTCCGTGTTTTAATCCACGGGCTCACTTGTACAAATGGGATGGTTCTGATCCACGGTACGGCGGAGAATCTGAGCCCATAGGCGCCAAACACCCCGCCGGGCACGGACAGGGTGACGAGGAACCCGTAGCGCTAGGGGAGCCGGTGGACGCGCTAATGGAAGCGGAGACGCAGATCTACACAGGATCACCGGACCTCGCGACAGAAACTCCTGCGACGGAGGAGGACCTGAGCTCCCTTCGGCCTGCCAATGACAAACCAGCGTCTGAGTTCCGCGGCGGACGATTCGCGCCACACGAGAACGATCCTCAACCGAGCCGACCCACGAACCGCCTTACAGGTGTTGCAACGGGGCGCGTAAACCCCTGTGTGGTGGGCGAAAAGCAAGAAGTGGGAGGCACGAGGGTCGACGGCCAGAATCGTCTTGTCGATAAGTCACCTAAGCCGGTGGCGACGGACACTGCAGTTCCTAAGGTAGTTGCGTTGAGCGCTAACGATGAGGACATCGGCAAGAGCAAGGACGTCGTTAGTGGCGTTGTTTATGAGCCAACATCACCTCTCGCTGCCTCATTGCCGGAGCCAACAGGTCCAAATCGCAACCATGGCCGAAGCCAGCAGCAGAATCCCGTGACCGGGGCCACGCATGGAGTCGGCGGAGAAATGCTATCCGAGCCCAGGGTCGAACAAGCGGAGCAGAAAGGGGGGGCGGCATCTATGGCCGGTATGGGCCATGGTGACGTAATAGACTGCAACGCAACCAAGCCCAAGGATGAGGACAACGGGCAGGCCGAGCCAGGAGTAACGCCGCGGACAGCGTCACTGGGCCACGATGGGCACCCGCATTGCGGTGCCATGGCAGGTATGGGCCGCGTAACTCAACTCACAGCCCTTCCTGTGCTAATTCAAGTTGTGTCACACCTCGGCGTTCAGGGCATTTCGCTCTCTGTCCAGAGTGCCTGACCTCCCCTGGTCATCATTACAGGACCTGGAGGTACACACCAGGCGGCTAGCGTGCCTCTGCTTGCAGCTGTATTGCCAAATGTGCCTCGTGCCGCGCGGGGTGAGTCCGTTTCATGTGTGTGTCATTTGTCGGGCACCCTCCGATGGGCTCCTTGTAAGAAGCCATGCTAATTCGCGCATCCCACCCATCACCTTGTGCAGCTGCCGCCAGACTGCCAAACTTCGAGACGGCTATCTGGTTCATCGATGTGGTAGAGCGGCTGCTGCCCATTCCCTCTACCATCCGCCTAGCCACGGAAGGTGAGGCACAGTTTCCCCATTTTCTGTTCTTGGTGTAGTCCGATATCTCACCCCCTATCTCTTGTCCGCAAGAACAAACGATGCGGACGAGGCAGCCATCATGGGATTACCGATCAGGGCCCGGGCTCGTGTGGATGCACTGGCTCGAGGTGAGTTGCCCGTAAGGCGTGGCAAACTCCACCTTCAGATGTATAGAGCGCAGGACTTACGCATTGTCGGTGATTGTCCACACTCTCATAATTTTGCAGCTGTGGCCAGGCTGCCGGCCTTCGACACTGCCATCACGTTCATCGATGTTGTTGAGCGACTGATGCCAGTGCCTAGCGCAAAGCGCCCACGCACGGACATTGATGCGCCGTAGAAACTCTGTCTATCCTGAGCTAATAGTGTTGATCTATTTATGGCAACTAGGGGTGGGGCCCCATTGGTGGCCCACTTCAAGATGCACAGGTGTCCTTGAAAGTTTGACATAGCCTCCTAGGGGACACCCTTAGACAGAACAGATCATAGTGTTGGCTCCAGTATGATAGTGGTCATGGCGTGGCTCGTATATGGGGTGGCGATATGCGTGAAACTCAGTGGCGTCTCTCCATATTTGTAAGCCTTAATGTTCATCGTATTATATGTTACTGGTCAAATTACATAAACACACACTTTTGCCCCTTAACTCTATATCGAGATCGAGAGAAACCCTAACGCAGTTTACGCCTTGTTCACTACGCTAGCTCTCGTAGGCGCGACCACAACCTTAACGTTAGTGCATTAGCCATCGATGTAAAGTGCGTTTGCACGCACGCATTCGTCTAAGTGACGGCCATGTGTGTCATGTACCGAGAAGGGACCCGTATACTATGCCGTACGCGACATGCTGTTTCTGCGAGAAATTACTGAAAAGCTACGGTGGGATACGTAGACATCAGCGTAGGAACAGAAAATGCCTGTACGAACAGGACCGCCTAGCGGCCTTAGGCATTCCGTACGGCCGATTCTATCGGCCGCCGTTAATCACGATCGTGCACGCATCCGGTCGGCGCATTGACGCGCCATTCGAACCCCGCACGGCTCACGATCGCGACGAGGAGGACGCCAATGGCGAAGGCGGGGAGGTGTCGTCATCAGCAGAGTCAGCTCCGTCGGTTGCATCGGGGGCGTCCTCGGACGTGGCGGAGGCGGGTGTCAGTCGGGACTTTAGGCTAGAAATAGCGCGCATTGCGAGGACGTATTTCTTGCCTAATGCGGCCATAACCGACATCATACAGTTGTTTAAAGCAGGGAACGGGGACCCCTCAGAGGTGGATCTGTGGCAGTCATATCGGGACCTCGAACGGTTCGAGGAGGAATACCTGTCATATGGCGACGAATGGGAGATACGCGTGTTGGAGCTGCAGGAGGGGCTGGGCGCGGTGACGTTTCGGTTTCGCCCGCTCGATCGTGTGAGTTTTGCGGCATAGAGATTAGAGGCAGTCCACATTTCTGCCACATTGACATTCCCCAATGCTGCTCATTGGGCAATCCTTCACCACGCAGATTCTGCTGAGGATGTGGGAGAAGATGTCCCGGGTCCCCGGGTTCACGACGGAACCACGGATAGTGGAAGTGGATGACGAGAGACGTTACGGGGCTGCTGTGGAATGCGACTGGTTTCGGCGGGCATGGGTACGTCTGAATCTGTCATGATGTCGTTCCCCTTGTGCTCCTGTGCTCATGTCGCAACATCGGGGAGGGTGAGCAGACGCAGGGTGGGTTGTACGTCCACATCTCGGTCTGTGTCCGACCCATACCCTACAGGAGGCTTTACGGGGTGCCGGTATAGTGGCAGCGGTGATTCTGTTCAGTGATGCGACACATCTGACGTTTAATGGGAGGCAGCTGGCTCACCCGATTATGTTCTCGCTGGACAACATTCCCGAGGCCAGCCGATGGCTGGAAGGTGGCGTGGAGATGGTAGCACTCTTCCCCCCGCTACCCGCAGCCTTGACACATGAGCAGAAGACGGAGCTCATGCACGAGATGCTGCGGCTGGTACTAGGGCCTCTCATGCAGGCATCATCAGTCGAGAGGTACGTTGCGGCCAAAGGCGTGGGAGGTGCCATCCGTAAGCGGTGTAGTGTCCCAGGCCGGCACCTGCTGAATAACCCGTTTGTCACACTTGCTTCTACCGACGTCCGGTCCCCGTCTTGCGCAGTGGGGGAATCATGGTCACGGATCATTTGGGGCGGAAACAGAGGGTCTTTCCACTCCTGAGCAAGTACGTGTGCGACCACCCCGAGTCGTGCATGGTGACATGCACATGGGCAGCCACGTCGAACCAACCTTGCTCTATGTGCCTCGTGAGCAAGTGGGACCTGGCGGATCTGACACTGGAAAGCACGACACGCACCGTGCAAGGCCAGAAGGACGTGTACGAGCGGATCGAGGGTACCAACCCAAAGAAGCGCAAGAGAGTTTAGTCTGCATGGTGCACACACTTTGTGAAGGTGAGTGACCCTACGATCGGCTCGGTGTGGGGGTCAGGCAGTTGAACGATTGTTTGCAGAACCCTAATTTCCCGATTTTCGCGCGGGGATAACAGCATGAGTGGCTTTGTGCGGTTTGGCAGTGCGCACTGTGGGAATGGGCGCACGTCGACACACCCTGGGGGAACCTCTACGAGGTCATCGGAATATGCATCATGCACGTGGTGGACGAGGGGGTGTGGCTGCACACCATGCGCTGCCTGGTGGCGAAATTAACCCCCACCGAGCAGCTACTTCTTCTAAGGTACTGAGTGCGGGTTTTCGGGGGGTTGTGGCGCGGTGCCGTCCACATGTGAGGTAGCACTGCGCGGTGTCAAGCGTGTTTGCTCATGTCTTACTTTGATGTTGCATTGCTTGTGGCCGCAGCCAGTGCGAGGCCGTCATGGCAGTGACGCCACCGTCTCTTCTCAGGCATCCGGACCCATCGGCATACTTTGGGACGGTGTCCCAGTACGCCGCATGGGAGCACCGGGCCATGATGCAGATTGTCCCGCTGGTCGCTCACCTGCCTGGCCACGAGGACATTGCCCGCGTGGTCATCCTCTTCAACGAGTGGTACCGCGTGTATTTCCGCGTGGCGTATCACACGGAGGCGTCTCTTCGAGATGCAACGAGGAAGACCCTTGTGTAAGCGGGTTTGTCATTCACACGTTTGGCTGGCACCAGCATCCACCATGCCCCTGCACCTTGAGCCCCTGCCTCACAAGACACTATCTGTCCCGCACCGGCCTCTGATGCCTCAACATCTCATGCCCTTGCCTATAAGGCCCCTCCCTCCAATGCCACTCGTCATCATGCAAAAGCCTCTCAACCCTTGATCCCCTCATACCCCGAACTGCAATATGATCCATAATTGTCATGCTATTAGGCAGCAGCAGGTTCTCATACCACTGCATCAGACGCCCCTGCCTCTAATGCCCTTTCCTCCCCCGCGTTGGACTATCATGCAAGTGACTCTCTTGCTGCGCACTCTCATGCCCCTGCCCCTGCCTGCATATCATATGCCCCAGCCTTATCTGCTCCGCACTCTCACGCCCTTGCAGCATCTGCTCCTCCCGGCTAACCCACATGCCCCTCATGCCACTGCCCCGCATCGCCAAACCCTCTCACGCCTTGCTGGATCATTGCTGCGCAGGCTGGTAGCGGAGCTGAAGCTCGTCTTCCCCAAGCAGTCGTCGCAGTGGCGGCTGCCGAAGGTGCATCTTCTCCGGCACCTTCCGCATGCCATCAGGATGCATGGCATCCCGTCCGAGCAATCGACCAACACCTACGAGGCCATGCATAAGCGATGCTGCAAATGGCCTGCACGGAACTCGAACTGGCGGGACGTGGGCAGAGACATTGCGGTTCGCCACGCACGCAACGAGGCAATCAGGGGCCTGGGTCGGGAAGAGGGGGGTAGGACGTACGAGACAGCCATGCGCACGGTGAGCTATTTCGGGTCATGCATGCATGGCGAAGTGACGCTCCATGTGACTTTACCTCCATAATGGTGTCCCATATTTGCAGCCAACTCATCTGGTCATGTTTGGCCCCCATTTACGCTCTTTTTCCATTCCCATCGTACGATGCGTGGGCATAGGCGGTGAAGCACAACACCCGGGTGCTGACCCGACGTTCACGGCACATGGCGGTGGGGGATGCGCAGGACCCGGTCTGGGCGGAATACGGCGCCGGGCTGGGCAGCGTCGTGATGGATGGGATCGCACGGGTGATGCGGCGTGTGGGGATCGCTGCGTCAGGCGTGCAGGTGATGTCTCGTCCATGGCTGGGTGCAAGGGGGCTTAACCGGGCCGGAGCCTTGTCTGGGGTACGAGGTGGTCAGTAGTGCCTTGTCATTGCGTTTGAGGGGGACCTTCACGTGATGCCCGGAGCCGTTCTTGTCGTTGTTTGCAGGTGCACACCGCGCTGGCGATACCCCCCCATGACCGCCTCTTGGGCCGCGGGCCAGCGCACATGGTGAAGGCAGCGCCGGGTGAAGGGAAGTTCAGCTACGTGGCGATTGATGGGGGGGAAGGCGTGTGGTATGCACGGTGCCTCATGCTCTTCCATTTCATGGACGACGAGGCCCAGATTCACAGGCGCGCAGTGGTGCGGTACTTCGACGAGCATCCCACTCCATGCCCCGTGACGGGATGCGTGAGGCTCTTGCCAACGGAGGGAGAGGATGAGTATGCCGTTGTCGAGGTGGAGAGCATTCTGTCCCTTGCCCATATTGTCCCGTGTTTCACTGAGCCCCGGTTCTCTTTGGTGAATCGGTTCCTATTTGATGAGTGATGGGGGATGAAGACACGTTGCAGCCGTGTGGTTGTGCCCTGACGGGGACCGTGTGGGGTCGGTATATGTGGCAAACCACGCTACACTATTGATGTATTAACTGTGGGCAGTTGGGCAGTAGTAGGCGATGTTGTTTCCATTCGGTTGCCACCCATTAGTTTCGGACGCCTAGAACCAACTCCGCTTGGCCTGGCCTCGCGGATGTATTTCTGGCCATGGACTGTGTTATAGACCTGTTGTTGGTACTGTATGTAGTGTTAATGATTTGGTACACCACGTATCGATTGCAAGGCTTCAGGACATTGTCCATAATGGGGCGGCTTATATCTGGGTTTTTTTTTTCCGGTTACATGGCGAGAATCGAACCCGGGCGGTCAAGGAACATGAGGTAGGCAGGTTTGGGACAGTTTCGGGTCAGATCGACGTTGGGTTAGTTTTGGGGCCAAAAACTCACTGACCCAGAACTGACCCTGTTCTGACCACTAACCCTAAATTGACCACAAAGAAACTCTGGAGGCATTTACAGGACAGGCTTGGGTCAGGCCGGAAGGTGGGTCACGCTAGGGTCAGAAACATTTTGGTGATGACACAATACTGATATGTCATCTTACATCCTCCCTCCCATATTCGTTTATATACATACAGCATCACATGCTATGCTACAGATCACACCAGCCCAGCCATCACAAAGCCATTGCGAAGCTCCAGCCAATCATCCTTCCACACATCCTTTCATGCGTCCTCGACGCATCATAGGTGTGTCCCCAACCTTATTGAGTGACTTGGTTCTTACTATATTTTCCCTTCCTCAGATTCTCGCAGGTCCAACTCCCTTCCTTGTTGCACCCCATCACCCTCCTCATTAACAGCCTTCGCACATCGTAATTCCCAAGAGGTGGCTCGAAAGTCTCGACTCAAAAGTCAACCCCTACCCTCTCAGCGGCTTGTCTACGGGTCAATTGGGAGACCAATGGGAATATCAATGGGAATCCCGATGGGACGCTTGCAGCAGCGCGGGCCAGTCTTCGCCGAGTAGCAGCAGCGGGGGCGTTCCATATCAGATCCCTGACAGCACTGCTGACCGCAGCAGTAACTACCAGTCGCCTCCCCGTTAGAGTCGATCCCAGGGCAGCACTCCCCGCCTCTCACACCCGGGATGCTGCAGCACTGAGGCTTTAACTCATCGTTGCAGCACACGCTTCCGCCGCAGCAGGAGGATTTTTCCGGGCAGCCGCCGCACTGCCCGCCGCAGCATTTCACGCCGCCCGGGCAGCACTTGCCGTTGCAGCAGGTGGATCCGGGTTCGCAGCATTTGCCGTTGCAGCAGGTGGTGCCGTGCTTGCAGCAGTTGCCGCCGCAGCAGTAGCTGGTGCGGGTGCTGCAGCAGGTGCCAGCAGTGGTGGGATCGCTGGTGGGAGATGGCAGGCAGCAGGTGAGCCCTATGGACTCGCCTCCCAGGCAGCACTTTCCGCCACAGCAACGCGGTGAGTTTCCCTGAGGAAACGGGAAGGAGGATGGGGGAGAGAGGGAAGGCACGGAGTGAGACGACAGACCTGGCAGGCAGCAGGTGAGCCCTATGGACTCGCCTCCCAGGCAGCACTTTCCGCCACAGCAACGCGAGGAGTTTCCATGAGGCACAGAAGGAGAGGTACGAAATAGAGGGAGAAAACAGAGGGTTCGAAGATGTAGGTTAGCAAGTCGGTTTGGGTCGAGTTTAGAGTTGCTGGTGGGAGACGGCAGGCAGCAGGTGAGCCCTATGGACTCGCCTCCCAGGCAGCACTGGCCGCCGCAACAAAGTGGGGAGTTTCCCTGGGAAATGGGGAGAGAGGTGTGGCAGAGAGGGAGAGGATAGAGGAGTGGAGATGAAGTAAGCTCATAGGTCTCTGAGTTGACTCAAGTCTCGCTGTTGGGAGACGGCAGGCCACAGAAACGCGGGGAGTTCACCTGGGAAAGGGAAAAGAGAGTTATGGCTGAAAGGGGAGAGGATAGAGGGAAAAGAGAAGAGAAGTTGAGAAGGCTTGTGATGGTACTACCAGAGTAGTACGTCAAGCCTGGACCCGAGTACAGCCAGACTTTAGCCAAGTGGAGTTTGCACAACAGAGTAAGCATTTGGAGTGGAGTGGTGAGCACGTCAAAAGCAGACGCTCTTGTAGCTGTGAATCCTTGAGGCGCTAAAAAATCAGGCTGACGTGGACTCGCAAGGCAGCAGCGAGTCCCGTTGCAGTGAGCCATTGGCTCACTGGCAGGGCCATTTCTGAAATTTCTTAGAGACTCCTCTGATTGGAGGTTTCTCAAAGCTGACTCACGAGGCAGCAGCTCCCGTTGCAGTAAATCTGCGGTCCCCAGCATCCGAATTGGCGCTTCACAGTGTCTGCTGAGCTGTCCTCGAGCAGAGGGCACGGCTGACGTGGCGGGAGGCATGGACGGACAACGGGGTCAACAGGGTCAATGGGGTCAATGGGCTCGCTGCATCCCCCGAAGCGCTTGCAGATGGGGTCCGGGAATTTGCCAAAGATCACCCGCCTTGATGCTGCAGAATCCTCGTTTGAAGGAATTTCATTCTTGACAGCTTCACCTGCTGCTGCTGCTGCTGCTGCTGCTGCTGCTGCTGCTGCTGTGGTGATAGCTGCAGCATGATCAGTGGACAAAGATTCGGCTGGTCTAGAGTGGAGGGGAGCAGCAAACGAGCTGCTGATAGCAGGCGCGAGGAGAAGAAAGGCTGAAAGGACTTGGAAGAAGGAAGCCATTGCTGCTGAAGAGTTGAACAGCAACTCAAGCTAATCTGTTGGGAGTTCTGGATTGTGCTTTGAATTCGTTTGGATTCATGTACTGCTTCTGCTTGAATTTGCTGTGGCAGTCCGTGTGGGCTGGAACGGCGCCGCCAAATTCAGTCAGTCTACAGGGAGTGAGTGCGTTTGAGTGCGGTTTGATGGATGTGGAAAATGGGATGAGTCAGGGGAGGATTCCTGCGGCACTGGGAGGTTCCTATTGGCTGAACGGAGGAAAACGATGCGAGGACGGGCATATCTGCTGCATGGAGGTTACTAAGGGCCTGGTGAAGGCCCGAATGCGTGTTTACACACCAAAAACATTTTCTTCTCGAATCCCAGAATAGACTTTGGAGGTCCGTTATTATAGTAAATCTCTACTGTAACCCCTGCACCGCGGCTGTAACGATGCCTGTTTCCAGGTTTCTGAACACGGTTCTTCAGAAACTGCCACCAGCTGGGCGTTCTGGCAAATGCAACCTGCACCGACCAGCATCGCTTCCAAGCAAACACAAACTTTGCTTTCTACAAGTTACCTGTAACACCTTCACGAAGCTCGCGAAATCGCCGTGACCGCAACCTCGCCAACGGAGCTGTCGGCAGAACTGTCACCTGTCATCGATCCGTCAATCAACGTCTCCCACGCAGTCGACTCCTCCGAGCCTCATCCCAGCCGTCATTGACATACATGACACGACATTTTATTCAATCCTGTCCGTCCGAATGGAAAACGATCATGGCTGGAAACTCGACCAACCTAAAGCCTACGAAACGAGAGCAAACATATTTTCACCACTTTATCTTGGTACAATACCGAAGCAGAATGGCCTTCTTGTTTGATACTGCATAAAACCTATTTCCCTGTGGCGACCTTTCCGAGCGCGAGAAATCCGCCTTGATCTCCCGTCCATATCGTGTAAATTGGTCTCAAGGTCGCAAGCCGTGCAGTTTGCATTGAGCATTCTCGAGTGGTGGTAGCGATTGGCGCCTCTCTGAAGCCTCGAGCGTAATACGAACCTACTATTCGGAGTAACGAATCGTTTCTTCCTTCCGTTATGGGCGGCGCGTTGGCCAAGCCGACGGAGCGAGACGCCAAGGGGAAGGTTGTTCTTATAACGGGGTGCTCCAATGGAGGAATTGGCTACGCCATTGCCGAGTAAGCCCCCCTTTCGCTTCAATTCTTGCCCTCGTTACACTTATTCTCGGTATCGACGAAATGCTTTCGTGGGTTCCTCGGTAGGGCTGCATTCGCCAACCTGGATTCTCGGTATCGACGTTTATTGTCACATTCTTCACTGTCACTTCTGTTGATTATTCAGTGTGTACTAATTTCCACCCCATTGCCACGTCATCACCCTCTAGGGAGTTTCAGCGCCGCGGTGCGAACGTGTTCGCCACGTCACGACGGGTCGACACGATGAAGGGGCTGAAGGAGAAAGGGGTGCACACGCTGGCTCTCGACGTCACATCTGAGCCGTCCATCCAGGTGATGCTGCGATGAGATCTAGTAGCCCGCGAGTTTGATGTGCTAGTTTGTGAAAATCGCGGTCGTTGATTAGCCAGACTTGCGATAGGTCCATCCACCCCCCACCTTCCTCCCCTCCTTTCATTCCCTCTCCACCGCTCTCCACCGCCCTCTTTTGAGATAACTGGAGTTTAATTACCCAGTAATGGTGACCAACGTGAGCTGTGGGCAGTCAAAACCGACAATCCGCCCTCCTCCGCGCCCCTCTCCCCCTCTCCTCTCCGCCATCTCCTCTCACTCCTCTCCTCTCCCTTCCCCTCTCCTTCCTCTCCTCCAATTTCTCCCCCGCCCCCCTCACCCCCTTCTCCTCCCCTTTCCTCCCAACCTCTCATTCCCCTTCTCCCCTTGTCCTCTTTCCTCCCCTACAGGCAGCGGTCAAGCAAGTCACGAGTGCAGCAGGGCGCGTGGCCGTGCTGGTCAACAACGCCGGCTGTGGGCTGCTGAGTTTGACAAGCTGTCTCTCCACCACCCCCTCACCCTCTCTATCCGCCCCCCACCCTACAGGCAGCAGTCAAGCAAGTCACAAGCTCGGCAGGGCGGGTTGACGTGTTGGGCAACAACGCAACGCGATTCCTGAGGGCGCCCTCATCGCTGCGTTGACTTTTGAGTCGACTCAAAAGTCAACGCAACGCGATTCCTGAGGGCGCCCTCATCGCTGCGTTGACTTTTGAGTCGACTCAAAAGTCAACGCAACGCGATTCCTGAGGGCGCCCTCATCGCTGGGCGCGGCGCGTGGACGTGCTGGTCAACAACGCGGGGTGGGGTGTGGGCTGCCGGGGTTGTCATACTGTGCCTCCTTCTCCCCCACGCCCTCCCCGTCTTCCCTCCCATACAGGCGGTGGTCAAGCAAGTGACGCAAGCAGCAGGGCGCGTAGACGTGCTGGTCAACAACGGGGGGTGGGGTGTGGGCTGCCGGGACTATTGGCAAATTTGTCCCCTTCCACCTCCCCTCTCCCGCGCTCCCTCCCGCTCCTCTTGCCCGTACAGGCGGTGGTCAAGCAAGTGACGCAAGCAGCAGGGCGGGTGGACGTGTTGGTCAACAACGCGGGGTGTGGGCTGCCAGTTTTCCAAGCTCCTCTCCGCCTTCCCCCCCCCCTTCCCACCCTACAGGCAGCGGTCAAGCAAGTGACGCAAACAGCAGGGCGGGTAGACGTGTTGGTTAACAACGCGGGGTGTGGCCTGCCGGGCCCACTGGCAGAATTACCCTTGGCGAGGATCAAAGAGGTGGGATGTGGTAACCGTAGGTGAGAATGGGACAAGGTTGTCTGGATGCATGGATAGAGGGTGTGGGCTGCTGAGACCGCTGGCAGAGTTACCCGTGGCGAGAGTCTCCTCCCTTCTCCCCCTTCTCCCCCCTTCTCCCCCCTTCTCCTCCCTTCCCCCCCTTCTCCCCCCTTCTCCTCCCTTCTCCCCCTTCTCCCCCCTTCTCCCCCCTTCTCCTCCCTTCTCCTCCCTTCTCCCCCCTTCTCCCCCCTTCTCCTCCCTTCTCCTCCCTTCTCCTCCCTTCCCCTCCCTTCTCCCCCTTCTCCCCCCTTCTCCCCCCTTCTCCTCCCTTCCCCCCCTTCTCCCCCCTTCTCCCCCCTTCTCCTCCCTTCTCCCCCTTCTCCCCCCTTCTCCCCCCTTCTCCTCCCTTCTCCTCCCTTCTCCCCCCTTCTCCCCCCTTCTCCTCCCTTCTCCTCCCTTCTCCTCCCTTCTCCTCCCTTCTCCTCCCTTCTCCTCCCTTCTCCTCCCTTCTCCTCCCTTCTCCTCCCTTCTCCTCCTTCTCCTCCCTTCTCCTCCCTTCTCCTCCCTTCTCCTCCCTTCTCCTCCCTTCTCCTCCCTTCTCCTCCCTTCTCCTCCCTTCTCCTCCCCTTCTCCCCCCTTCTCCCCCCTTCTCCCCCTTCTCCCCCCTTCTCCCCCCTTCTCCTCCCTTCTCCCCCCTTCTCCTCCCTTCTCCTCCCTTCTCCTCCCTTCTCCCCCCTTCTCCTCCCTTCTCCTCCCTTCTCCTCCCTGCTCCTCCCTTCTCCTCCCTTCTCCTCCCTTCTCCTCCCTTCTCCTCCCTTCTCCTCCCTTCTCCTCCCTTCTCCTCCCTTCTCCTCCCTTCTCCTCCCTTCTCCCCCCTTCTCCCCCCTTCTCCCCCCTTCTCCCCCCTTCTCCCCCCTTCTCCCCCCTTCTCGCCCCTTCTCCTCCCTTCTCCTCCCTTCTCCTCCCTTCTCCTCCCTTCTCCTCCCTTCTCCTCCCTTCTCCTCCCTTCTCCTCCCTTCTCCTCCCTTCTCCTCCCTTCTCCTCCCTTCTCCTCCCTTCTCCTCCCTTCTCCTCCCTTCTCCCCCCTTCTCCCCCTTCTCCCCCCTTCTCCCCCCTTCTCCCCCCTTCTCCCCCCTTCTCCCCCCTTCTCCCCCCTTCTCCCCCTTCTCCCCCTTCTCCTCCCTTCTCCTCCCTTCTCCTCCCTTCTCCTCCCTTCTCCTCCCTTCTCCTCCCTTCTCCTCCCTTCTCCCCCCTTCTCCTCCCTTCTCCTCCCTTCTCCCCCCTTCTCCTCCCTTCTCCCCCCTTCTCCCCCCTTCTCCCCCCTTCTCCCCCCTTCTCCCCCCTTCTCCCCCCTTCTCCCCCCTTCTCCCCCCTTCTCCTCCCTTCTCCTCCCTTCTCCCCCCTTCTCCCCCCTTCTCCCCCCTTCTCCCTCCTTCTCCCCCCTTCTCCCCCCTTCTCCCCCCTTCTCCTCCCTTCTCCTCCCTTCTCCTCCCTTCTCCTCCCTTCTCCTCCCTTCTCCTCCCTTCTCCTCCCTTCTCCTCCCTTCTCCTCCCTTCTCCCCCTTCTCCTCCCTTCTCCCCCCTTCTCCTCCCTTCTCCCCCCTTCTCCCCCCTTCTCCCCCCTTCTCCCCCCTTCTCCCCCCTTCTCCCCCCTTCTCCCCCCTTCTCCTCCCTTCTCCTCCCTTCTCCTCCCTTCTCCCCCCTTCTCCCCCCTTCTCCCCCCTTCTCCCCCCTTCTCCCCCCTTCTCCCCCCTTCTCCTCCCTTCTCCTCCCTTCTCCTCCCTTCTCCTCCCTTCTCCTCCCTTCTCCTCCCTTCTCCTCCCTCCTCCTCCCTCCTCCTCCCTCCTCCTCCCTGCTCCCCCCTGCTCCCCCCTCCTCCCCCCTGCTCCCCCCTCCTCCCTCCTGCTCCCCCCTGCTCCCTCCTGCTTCCCCCTCCTCCCCACGAACCTGTTCGGAGCATTGGCGTTGTCCCAGGCCGTGTTCCCCCCCACATGTACAACACAAGCAGAAAAGTGGACTCCAACCCCCCTCCTACTACCCTTCTCTGCCCCCCTTTTCCTCTCCCTTCTGCCTCCCTCTCCCCCGCCTCCCCAGGTGTATGACACAAACCTGTTTGGGGCATTGGCATTGTCACAAGCTGTGTTCCCCTACATGCACGAGCAGAAGAGCGGGCGAATCATCAACGTATCCAGTGTTGCTGGTTACACTCACAGGTGAGGTGGAGGTTACACGTACAGGTGAGGCGGTTACAGTTACATGTGCAATGGCATCGCAGTGTTCCCCTACATGCACAAGCAGAAGAGCGGGCGAATCATCAACGTATCCAGTGTTGCTGGTTACAATGAAACCCCTGGGGATTTGCGTGTGTGATGAGTCTGTTTTTGAGTCGACTCAAAAACAGTGTTGCTGGTTACAATGAAACCCATGGGGATTTTCTAGGCACCTCAAATTCTCCCCCTGTGGGGACGTATGGCAGCAGCAAGGCGGCGCTCAACGCGGTTACCAACTGCATGCGCGTGGAAATGAAACCGCTGACGATATTTGAGCCGCCTAAAAAACTATCCCCCCCCCCCTCCTTACTCCCTCCCCCCCCTCCCCTCTCCCCCTCTTCCGGTCAGGCCCTTTGTGGGGACGTATGGGAGCAGCAAGGCGGCGTTCAATGCGGTTACCAACTGCATGCGCGTGGAAATGAAACCGCTGGGGATCGGCGTTGTGCTTGTGACACCCGGATACATCCGCACCAACATTTTCAGGTGCTTTGCTTGAGCTACCCCAGTAATTTAAAATTCTTTATCGACTCACGTTCTTTCTTTTGACTTCTATCACCTAACACCTCCTCCTCTCGTGCAGTAAGAATACCCTCCACATCCCTGTCCTCACACAACCAATCACAGTCATTCATTTGACTCATGCCCTCCCATTTGACTTCTCCCTCCCTCCGTTACGACCCCCATCTCTCATGCAGCAAAAATGTCTCTCACATTCCTGTCCTCCCGCCATCAAGCCCGTTTAAGCCCATGGAGATTAATATCCGCGAGTCGTACGCCAAGCGGGCCGAGAACCAGTCATTTCCACCCGCATCTGAGCTGGCAAAGCGTATCGCTGATGCAGCACTCAGCCCAAATCCCCCAATTAGGGTTTTGTTTGGAACGAGTGCGCTTCCTGCTGTAGTTGCAGGGGCGATGCCTCTATGGTTTCAAGATTTTGCGTATTCCCGGTTGTTTGGCAGTGGGAAAAATCTATAGACTGGTTTCGTGTCAATGCGTTTAGCCAACCCTTTTTGTCCCTAAAGTAGCACATTTGAATGCTGAATCTAGTGAGAAAATTAGGTGTTACTCACATTAATATAAACATCAATTTCAGCGTTGTGCTTGTGTAGGACGCAAGAAGCAACGACTTTCACGACTTCTGATCGAGCCGCTACAGTCGAGCTTCAGTATTCGATGCCACTCTGTTCCACGTCATCCGCAGCACGTCAGCAGAGATGTCTTTCCCGCGCCAGTGGATGCTTGTGGTTGGTTGGTTGTGCTTCTGACACGTGCATTCGGAGAGCTGTTTGGTCGCTATCACATCGCGACTGCACTCACGCTGCGCTGCATTGCCATTCTTCAAGGCCAGATGCAGGGCAGGCCCCTGCCCTGGGAGGGTGTCCATACGGGGTTTTACGGGGGGGAATACAAAATTCGTTTTGATTCTCTCGAACTAGCTTCTGGTATGCGTCGCGTGGCTATTGTTTTGCTTTACCCTTCCACTCCCACCCTCCACTCTCACAAACCCAGTCGTTCCACATGATGTTTCCTCCCGAGTTTCGGAAGTTTTGGGAACCGATGTTTAAAACTTCAGTCCGAAACGAGTGAAAACGGCACCATGCAGGTCAGTGTCGAGCGCTTCGCCAAAATTCTGTCACAAGAGGCCAGGACGCAATTTCGGCGTGCTTCTGTTACGTCGACGAATTTCAGACAGAAAAGGCAGTTGGGAGATTTCGCTGAGTTTTGTACTAAGACGAATTTTGACTGACGAGGGTGTTGGAAGATTTCGGCTGAATCGGTTGTAAGTGCAGAGAGTAATTTTAGGTTGGTGTGTTCAAAACAGCACTTTCTGTTAGGGTTATTCAGGTGAATAGCTCAGGTCCAGTCAAGAAAACATGTGTCGCAATACAAAAATTCGCGTATAGTGGAATCCGAAGCTTGTTTTCGTGCGTCTCAACCCGTTTCGCAAGTAACCACGCAGGTGTCACTCACGTTCGTCCAGTGGCTAATGCAGTGCGATCCAGTTGGTTTCCACACGGTGAGTACTGGCTTCGATAGTATACCGCTTTGAAACGCAACACACCCAAACAAACCGTGGTACTTCTGTTAAACTGGAGCAACTTGGTACAAATGTATGTGCCCGCCGCATTCCACCACAAATGAACCTCCCTCATTTTTACAGCAGCACTGCCTTCACTCCAAAATCTCCTCGAGGAACCAGTTAGCTAGTAGTAGCAGTTCATTTCCGCCATGACAAACAGATGTATGGACCCTTCGAGATGTCTGCTGGTGCTACTACTCGGGTTTTTCATTGGATCATCGCTTGTTCTTTCCAGTTCGCTCAGCTTAATGGTAAGTCCGTCGTTTTAGAGAAAACAAACGGAGACAAACCAAACCAAAAGCCTTTTCTGAGAAACCACTTCAAGTTTCTGAAATGAAACCTGGACATCAACTCTGTTCAATGCATTCGCAATCCTAAACCCTTAACGGGCCGTTTCTGTTCCAGGACGACGAGAGCCCCAGCACAACACTGAAACGAAGTCGAGTTGACATCACCAAAGCGTTATTCCAGCCCACCAGCTCATTAACAGCGGACCGTAGCGAAATAGTACAGGAAAAACAGCTCCAAGACGGATTATCCGCTGACTCCGAATCGGATCCGGATAAAAATGGCGATAATTTACCTTCATCAGATTTACTTTCGGCGGAGGAGCCGCGAATCGGCGGGAGATTTATCGAGGCAGGGGGTTTTGGATCCTGCGGCATTCCCGACGTTCCCAACGACGCGGAGTGCGTGGTGGATCTCGCGGGATTCCCTGAGCTGCAGGCGCGCAGCGGGACCCGCACGGTGCGCCGGTTGGCGTGCCTGGCGCATAGGTATCTGCGCCCGTGGATGGGGATTCCCGGGGTGAAGCGGGGGATGGGCGCAAGCGGAATGATCAGCCCAGAAATCCTCCACCGGATGGGTCACATGAATAACGTGAGTATTGCGTGTACTAAGAGTGTAACAAAAAAAAAAAACATACCCAAATTCGAAATCTACACCAAAATATGAGTCATTTTCTGTATTTGCTTCATCTGGCTGACACGTTCCCTCCTCCCACCCAGTCTCTGGGCCTAGAATAATGTTGATTAACTCAGAATCTTCTCCCTCCACCCTGTTTTCGTCCGACCACACCCTAAACCTGGGGTTTAGGGTCGATTGAGCATCATTGCGCATAGATTCTCTCTCCTCCCTTCCTGTTTTGACCACATTGATATGCTTGGTCAATTGAGAACTTTCTTCTTGTTGCTGAGGCACACGATTATGGGTTCATTGAGCACTATACTCCCTGTTTTTGGTCTCCACTCTCCCTGTTTTGATCTATTTGGAACAAAACTTCTCCCTCCTCCCTCCCTGTTTTTGAGGCACCCGAATATTGATCAAATCATAAATTTCTCCCTCCTCTCCTGCACTACCAACACCACAGGTGCTCTCTTGCTGCGGCCACGTGCGGATCGTGAAAGGCAAAATCTACTTCCGCTTCGGCGGCTTCGAGTTTGACTGGTTCAAGATGCGCCGCTTCATCTTCTCAATTAACATGATCAAAGAAGCAATTGCACGCTACAGTCTACACTCACTCACCGCCGAGTTCTTCCTCAACACATGCGACGCACATATCAGCAAGGCGGCCTCTGTGGCGAAGCACAGAGCGGGCCTCCCCATTTTCAGCACGCACGGCTCACTCGGGAGCATAGACATCCTCTATCCCGACCCGGTTGATTTGAGCGAAACTTACTTCCGGAGAAGCGAGGCGGATCAGGTGCCGTGGGCTGAGAAGCAGAGCCGCGCCGTGTTTCGCGGAACTATGACGAATTTCAAGCTGACCTACAACCGCCAATGGCGCCCCAGCCCGCGAATGCGCCTCCACCGCATGTCAGACGTGCGGCCGGACCTGCTAGACGCGAGGCTGGTCAAGGGAATCGACCCGAAATTTCTAGCCGAATTGCGAGAGGATGGGATAAAGATGGGAGGCCGTCTTGGTCCGGCGGAGCTGCAAGGGTTCAAGTATGAGATCGAGCTGGACGGCGGAACGGGCAGCTGCCGCACGTGCGGGATTCTGTCGAGTAACCAGATGATGATCAAACACGCGAGCGAGTATTTTGAGTATTTCTACCCGTTGCTCTGTCCAAACAGGCACTTTGTCCCAACACACCGATACTTCGCTGATTTATACGAGCAGATTGAGTGGGCTCGGGATCACGATCGCGAGGCGCAGAGAATCGTGAAGCAGGCGAACCGGCTTGCAAGAGACGTGTGCACCTGGGAGGGCCGGCGCCTCTACTGGGCGATTCTCCTAGCGAAATACTCTTCCAGCGCCCTCGAGGATCCTGCCAACGTAACCCGCCCGACTGTCTTCAAATGCACGGTCCCTCCAATCCAAGGAGACGTGGTAATGCACGGCGTTCGCTCCAAGGAAAAGCCTGAGAAATGGTACCCCAAGTGTGGGTCTCCGGAGGAAGATGAGGGTCAGTCCCTGTGTACCCACTGGTGCTCAGGGCGTTTGGAAGAGTCTAAGTGGAAGTGGCTCAGTGCCGACATTCTGAGTGCAATTCAGGGATTCAAGCCACAAATTCCAGGAATTAAGTTCCCAGACGTGTAAGGCCTAGACTGAATGCACGCTCGGGGAAACTGAAGCAGCTTGAGTGGATGTCGATCACTGAGGCATTCTCATTGACACCTAGGCAGCCTTTTGAAGCACCTCAGAAGTCGTCTTGTGAGGCGCCTCAAAAGAAACTGAAGCAGCTTGAGTGGATGTGGATCACTAAGGTATTCTCAGCGACATCTTGACAGCCTGGGGAGTTCTAAGGGCCTTGTAACTGTTTTCTGCCAGAGACATGTAGGAGCCTCGATCCTTCATGTTACCTTGTCACTTAGGTGTTTTCTACCTGTGTGTGTGGCATAGGGCATGCTTTATGCCTCAAGGAGGACCATTAAATGCTGGTAGTGGGGGTTCTGAAATAGCCAGCACATATGTTGTTTACATAGGAATTGCTGGCTTGCACAATATGTATAAAAATTGTACCTAAATCATACTATATGTATCACCTACAATCGAATTGAATGCTGTTTATTTTCCAAATGAATATCACAATGGAAATTGCTTCTGCGATAAGGGCATATTTTATCAGTGTAAATTACACTTGTAGAGTAATTATTAGGGTACTTTTGATAGGTCACATGGATGTCTCTGGATATTTGTTTTTGAGTTTTTGGATTTCCCTCATCTGTCAGTGTTAAGATTTTGGCCACACGGATGGGTTAGGGTAATATTTCATTTACCGAGTTTTACACTGAATAGTTTACAAAGGCCCCCCTCCCCTCTCACCCCCTCCCACCCTCCCACTGTCAGAATAACTGTGCAGGAATGATTGGATTAGCAAGAGTTGGGGTACAAGTACTAACCCTAGAAGTGCTGTAACCCATAAGGAGTGCCCCACTATAGCCTATAAGTAAGATTGTACTTTGACACACCCCCATAGGCTAAGTGGGGGACAACAAGACGGTCACAAGACCAGTCAAGCAAGACAACAAAGCAAAGCTCAGGGTGGATCTCAAGGACACCACACAATCCGAGCACAAGCTAGAGGCCACAAGGCCAGTTCACATGCAGAGTTATAATAGCAAGGCAGTACACTATTCACAACCTAGCAAGAGGAAACATGCAGGTATAAATATAGATAGCAGTGTACAACAAGTGCAAGATCAAGAGACAAGCAGGTGAGGTAGAACGGGCAGAAGCCCAAGAGCAGTGCAAAAACGCTGAAGATCACCAGACCTGAGGGCCTTGGTGAAGACATCAGCAGTGTTGGCCCGAGAGGCCACGTAAGAAAGACGAAGCTGACCACGCTGCTGCAGCTCTCGAGCAAGAAAGTAGCGAAGAGCAATGTGCTTCGTTCTGTGCTCCAGTCTCTGCTCCCGACACAAGGCAATGCTTGCCTTGTTGTCGACGTAC